CTAGCAGTTATGTGCCTTTTTGTTCTTGTCGTTTTTGAAACGTAGCATGGAGCATGCTACTGACTTTGACATGCTTGGGTTTTCTTTTGTCTGATTGATTGTCCAGACTCGATTTGTATTCTTTCGATGGTCTGATGGACTTGCGTGTAAGCGAGTTGGTTCCTCTGGCGTTATGCTGTGATTCATTTTTAGGCTTTGTTGGTTACATAGGTTGTGAACCTGACAATTCAACTTGGATTTTTTTGCCTTCCTTGGTGTTCCTTGTTTTTTTTTCCTGAGTGACAGCCAATTTACGTACATGGTACTACCTAGATAGGTAACTTTGGTAAATTCCTACCTAGGTAATCTTGGAACCTTGGAAGGTACCTCCCGAGGTCCATGTGGACCTCGGGAGCCCGGGACAACCTTAACTTTATCTCAAGAAAGTGACGTCGGAGAATACTAGAATGTACACGGTACCTACATACTCCTCTTCTCTAAAAAAGGCTATGTTTTGGTAGGTCTTTCTTTTTCTTTTTTATGTTCTCTTCCCTTGCAAGAAATGAAATTAATCATACATCGTAGAACACGAACAGAAAAATGACACAGGGAACTCGTTACTTTGAATCCCAACAATTCATTTTTCATTCGCAACGTAAAATAATTAGACACCCCTGAAAGACTTACTATTCAGCAATTAGAATGGGTTTTGAAAAGAGATCTTATGAATTGGGATATGTAGCTAGGATTCTGATAATACTAAAAGTCGTATGGACCCAGTGGTCATGCAAATAGAACAATATGAGGCTGTAACAAGCATGTACAATGTAATGGTGGCAATGCAAATGGAAAATTGCGTCACTGGTATCAAAGTGGGCAAGGTCTTCTTCATTGCTTCAGAGCAATCCAAGTGCGCCAAACGCTGAAACAACATCGGTGTCAACGTTGACTAGCCACTCATCCTGGAACCGCTCCGCTCCACCACAGCCAGCAATAACCTCTTGTAGACGATGACGTACGAAGTCTCGGATCATGAAGCGATGGATTGCATCCCCGGACTGCCAGTCACGGCGACGAATGATCTCAGGTGATTCGACTTCTTGTGTGCTTTCTGGCATCGCGGTTTCCGAGCCGGCTGGTGCATTCCAGCACACCAAATAATCGGCATTGGGGTCAGTACTACCGTCTGCTAATTCGGTGATGAGATCGGTCCATACACTCAAGTATGATTGCAGGTGAGAAAGGATGTAAGCAGGGGGTGGAGGAGGTAAAGACGGATCGAGTGGAGGTCCTTGTAGGGCCAGGAGTTGGGTGAGGGCAAGCACATGGAGTTTCTTTTGGTTAATGCTGCCAATATTGTCGTAGTGCAAGAACCATTCGGTCAAGATCCAGGTGAGAGATTGTTCTTCGGATGAGTTGGTCGCGGCGGCGACTGATGAGGCTAAAATGGTAGGGCTGGCCAGCGCAAGGCGAGCTAGCACAGAGTAGTAATCGCTTTCGACGACACCGACCACAGGGGTTGACTTTTTCTTTGGGCCAGACGTCTGACTAGCTTCGTAGGCAGAGTAAAGGCCTTCTAGCAGGGAAGCAAGGAATGAGCTGTCCAAAAGAGATTGGGAAATGACGGCATAGGTTGCTTCGCTACCGCCATCAACAGTCTCAGCGCCGCGAAGCATCAAATCAACAAGGCGAGGTATCACACCAAGACGTTGCGACGTTGTGGATTTGAGTAGTGATTCAAGGATCACTAAGAGTTGGAAGCGGAACCGGTCACTGAGAATCTCCTGCGGTGCCAGGAACACATAAGATTCGAGGATATGGATGGCCTGCGGGGTGCTATCGGTTGCTCCTTCAAGAATGGGGAACAAAGACGGGAGGAGTGATATGATATCCGGTGAGGCAGGAGATGGCGTAGCCTGGATGATGGCATGCCATAGATCCAGTGCCTCATCTAGAAGGTAAACAATGGTTTCCTTGACGACAAGTTAGGCTTAACTGACATGCATAGTATGATTTACATGGGACTTACCGAATCAGGTTCTACTGAGCTTTGGATCAGTGGAAGAATAAGAGAGTGATACCTCACAGACTCCTGTGCTAGCGATTGAATCAAGGATGACAGCAAAGTCAAGATAGCTTGTTTCATCAAATGTTCTTCGCCGGAGCTTTCCCACAACGGTGGGAGTAAAGAAATAATTCGGTCGGAGAAAGGGGTGATCTAATATTGTGAGTTACGGAGCCGCCGACGAAAACGAGACAACAACTTACGTGCTCTTCCATCTTGACCACCACCATGCGAACTGTCTCCAAAAGCCCCATCTTCGTGTCTGAGGATTCGACTTCTTGAACAAGAGACATGAGACTCTCCAAAATGGTAGGCGCAAATGACATAAATGCTCCCGCTGAAAATTCGTATGAGTCAAGTATACTCCGGAGTTGTCGACCGGCGGTGATGCGGACGACCAGGTCGTTCAAAGGGTCGTGCTTGCCAAGCAAATGCTGGAAGATTTGATAAATTGCGTTCATGTTCAGTTCGCCTGGCTTAACCGGGACCCATTGACCGAGCACGAGCGCGATTCTTCTCCTCAGAAGCTTGTACTCTGGTTCCTGAGACTGAACTTCAGCGACCATAGTATGTTCCAAGAATGCGTTGAAGTCCAGATGATGTTCAAGACTGGCAGCCGCCAACCCGATGGCGGAATACAGCGAATCTTTCAACAGCACATTGTGGTTGTCGGTGCCTATGGTATAAATGTTAGTCACGCACACGGGATATAGCTCATCGATAACTTACTCGCGAATGTGTAGAATACGGTCAGCAAACGTGGAATCAGTAAATCCTTGAAGTGAATCACTAGATCAAGGAAAAGTTTTTCCGAGCATGAACGGATTGAGAACTCCCAAGCATCAGCATTCTCTTCCTCTCGCTTCTCCCAGTCCTCCGGTTCTTCTTCCCAATCTTGGAAATCGATATTGCGGAACCTGAAGAACTGTGTAACGAGTAGCTCCATGACATTGACCACAAATTCTTCGGTAAAGAGTTGCGTTTTGACGAGCTGAACAGATTGTTTCCGTTCTTCCTTGTCTTCCGGTGTCTGATATTTGAAAGTCTGGGCAGGGTTGAACGCCATTTTTGCGCATGCACGAATCAAGAGCAGAGCCCGGAGGCCGGTCTTCTCGGTCAAGGACTTCCCTTCGTCTTCACCCCCAGCACCAAGGCTGTCATACTTCTCGCCAAGTTTGACGACTAATGACCAATACGACTTGACAAGCGAGATACTATCCGGCAGCAACGCGAAAGATGCGGGGTGTGTTTTGGCCATTTCAACATGCAACTTCGACATCTGCAGCAAATGCTTCTCGATAGCCCGATGAATTGGTTCGGGTAGATTGGTAGACCCATCCACAAGAGAATGGAATTTACTAAAGTGCGAATGAGTCAGCTCCCAAAAGCCCTGTACTTCTTGGCTGCGACTCGGGTGTTCAAAGCCAGCAATGATCAGGCGCCGTAGAACCTTAAGAGACACCAAGCTCAATTCGAGCGTCTGCAGCAACTCCCCCTCGCCAGCACCACCCTGTTCCAGTATCGCCCCCCATTGATTGATTTTGTCAACATATATCCCTCCCAGTAACTGGAATATCTCAGGTGACGCAGATTGAAGATTATGTCGCGTTCGCTGAATCCGTGCCGTAGATAATTCCTTGATTATTTGGAGCAATATGAGGAGAGTTCGGGGAAGTTGGAGCGGATTTGCTCCAGGCTGGACGGAGGATCGGAGCGAGGAGATGATGTACGAAATAGCATCGGGCCTGACTGGAATTAGAATGAGAAGACCAACAGCTGAATGTTGCCATACCAGTCATGAGGAAACTCAAATCGCATGATTTTGGCAATCATCAACGAGTTATGGAGAGCCAGCAGCGGTGCGGGCTCAATGATTCCTGCCTCAAGAGCCCGAGTCTTGATATGTTCCTTTTCTTCCGCTTTGATCGCACTTTCATAAGTGTCAGCATGCCCTCATCTTGACAATATTCCAACAACATACTTTGGTGCCGTCTTGCGCCAGTATTTATCGATGCCGTTCTTCAGTTGGATGATGGCAAGATAGCGAACTTCATTCGGTACGGAGTGGTCCAGAAAGACATCCTGTATGTTGCAAGATTTGTTATTAAGTGAAGCAACAACAACTAAGACTGTAAACCCGTACCTGTAGAAAAGAATAGTACATGCCCTGTTTCTCCCAGTTCTGAAGCTGTTCAGTGCCCGTCCGAACTTGCTGTTGAGATGAGCTTGCCGCAAGGACTAGCGTATTGAGCACATTTTGGGGGCTGAGTGGGTTGGTCTCGCCTTGTGCTTCGATGGCGAAGGCCATGGCGAATAGCGGTGTTGATCGACGCGTGAAAGAAGACCTGTAAAGCTTGTAGTTCTGTTAAAACAAGCACCAGATCAGACTTTCATTGAAGTGACCTGAATCACTAGACATTCATGAAAAGGAACTCTGCGTGAGTTCCAAGATGTTAATTGATTTGATCTAAGAACTGCCATGTCTCGTCGGAGCTCCCTATCCAACATAAACTCCCCGCCTCCGGAAAAGCCATACTCCGGTCCCGCCGAACCCTAGGGCTGGACCCTAGTCTCTATCCCGATTCAGATATGCTGCTAGGGCTGACGTTTCCCCTCAGTGGAGACAATGACCTCGGGAAGTCCAGCCTCAAACAGCTTGCTCAGAGTGTTATCAAACTATGATCGACGACTTCCAAGGTTGTTTTCGAGTAAAAATCCTTCACTTCACCTACAATACTATGCATCTTCCTCCATTCGTGACATACCTATGATGTAGCATGATGCAACTACAATTCCCGATCTGAAGTGAAGTAGGTATGATGTGGACGGGGCGATGTATATATATATAACGTGCAAGTCGGTTCAATGTAGATGGCAATCTCTAGGCCCATTCATCTTAAACACCTAAACATCAATATATCTACGTATATTGCAACATATAAAATCCTCGAACAACATGCCTACCACCGAAGAATTGAAGCATGTAGGCTTCAACGCCGAGAGAGACCTTAATTCCCACCAGGCCAAGCAAGGCCGCAGCAGAAAGAGTGACTCAAGTACGTGGAGAAGCCGGTCTTAATCTGTGCCATTATTCTAATAATCTTTCAAGCTGTCGAGTCTGGTGTTGATGAGATGGTCGACCAGCGATTCTCTCAGCCCACAAGTGTCCAGTATGGCGCTGGCTCAACTGCCTCCGGCAGCGACCACCGCGTGATTCTCGATGAAGAGGGTGGTGTTTGTGATGACCGCAACAGGTAAGCTACACGTCGCTTCTCTGTAGGCTGTCAATCGTTGACATTGTTAACATCTCATCCCTTCTAGACTCGCTAGGGCAAATCAGTTCGAAGGCCCTGGCGGCCCGAGAGACTGATGTCAAGATTTAGTGGTGGTGATCGGCATACTCCGAGCCTTCGGAATACGAAGCATCGCAGAATTACCCGGCCAAAATATATACTACAAATGATACCTGATGATCTGTATGATAATGAAAATTGGAATCTTCATCGTTTAATAGTATTGTTCCCGAGGTCAAGACTTGACATTAAGCCTCGGGATCCATGGATGGTGCATAGTAATGAGCCTCGCTAATGTTACCTTCCCGACTAGGACAATGGATAACATTTCAGACCCCACGTGTAACAGCAACCCTAGAAGCTTTGCGATCCCACGTGATTGTCTTCCGTGAAATCTATAGGATCACAGAGAACTTCCATCCAAATTAATTGCTCTAGAATTCTCATTTTATGACCCAATCTCAAAACGGCCAAGCGTTGGCTTGACTTGTACTCCCCGGCAACTACTCAGGTGAGAAACTGCCCTAGTAGGAAATGCCAAGGTGTATCCTGATGTTTCACCCAGCCCTATAACTATGCCCTTATAATAAACTTACATCTGAATACATACATGTGTACGGAATACGTTGTAGTTAGGTACCTGGTAACTAGTTACATGCACCTGCATAAAAATGCCTCTACCACTCCCGGGTCCATTTCCAAGGTTCCTTTTTAGTGCTCACCTACGTATGTATTGTTAATAGATTTTGATCACTGGTTGAAACTCAGCACGCCCCCAGGTACAGCTCAGTGATTTGTCTGGGCACCCCCGGGTGTTCCCCACTCACTAAGCGTTGGGCTAAGCATCGGAGTCAGCTTATCGCAAGAAATTCACCACCTGGGCACGCTAGCGCCTTATGAGTCCCCACTTCGGTTGGCTCTGTCTCACTAACTAATGGAAACTACACGAGATCAGATGCATGGGTACATCTATGGATAGATGTTCTATCTATGTACTCTATGTGCCTCGAGGTAGGTACATAACATAAACTAATTCTTACCATCAAAAGCTACTATAAATATTAAAAGAAGAAAAAGGACATCGGGTAGGCCGGACCCCGGACTCCGGGGCCGTTGCCATGGATTCGCTAATCGGCTAAGCATTCGCCTTCCAACCTTCCAAGGTTGGTGGGCCCCTCACTTTGAATCTGTTGTGATTTTCAACCAATCAGAGGGCTCCATCGGTCCATGTGCCCGCATCATACAACCGATGCTCTCTACCTACGTACCTGAACTTCAATTCAACATCAGGTACGGGGTACGAAGTACCCATTTGAGACTTGAAAAAAAGCTGGTAAGGACATAGTACCTCATGTACCTGTCAGGTATACCTTCCTCTTGAGTTTGTCTCCAATGTAAGATGCACGTGTGGTGACCCCTTAGCTTCGAAACTTCCATACATATTCTGGCATTCCTCTCTTGACGATCTTTTCTTCTTTCTTTTTCTCACCATCCTCACCCTCCTCATTTTGTCTCATCCTCATCTCATCAGCTACATCAATCTTTCATTGATTCTCTGCGAGATCCATCAAAATGAAGGCTGTTATTGCTGTCTTGATGGGATCGGCTGCTCTGGCAACCGCTCAGACAGCTACCACCTCCGAGCCCGCTGTCGCGGACATTCGCGCGGCTGCCGCAACTACCAAGCCGGAGGTTACCACCTCCGATGTCAAGGGCTTGGCTTTTGATCGGTTTTATCAAGTCTGGCTTGAGAACATTGTACGCGACGAACTCCTAGAATATTCCTGCAGTCTCTGAGGCACTATGACTAACGGGCTCATAGAACTATGATGACGCCGCCTCTGATGCCAACATGCAGTGGCTTGCTTCTGAGGGTATTCTGTTGTAGGTTTCCAATGACTTGGGCTATGAGTGAGAGGACCAATTCTGATACTATGTAGGACCAACTTCTATGCTGTCACTCATCCTTCCGAGCCCAACTACTGTGCTGCCGCTGGAGGTGACACGTTTGGAATGGATAATGATGACTTCAATCAGGTCCCTGGGAACGTTTCCACCATTGCTGATCTGCTTGACACCAAGGGAGTCTCGTGGGCTGAATACCAAGAACACATTCCCTATGCCGGTTTCCAGGGCTACAACTACTCTAACCAAGAGACTTACGACAATGATTATGTTCGCAAGCACAACCCATTGGTGCTTTATGACTCCGTTGTGTCCAACAGCAGCCGTGCACGTCACATCAAGAGCTTTGATGACTTTGAAAATGATATTCAGGACAAGAAGCTTCCTCAGTGGGCTTTCATCACTCCTAACATGACCAACGATGCGCATGACACCAACATCACTTTCGCTGCTAAGTGGGAGCGTCCTTGGGTGGCCAAGTTGCTCGAGAACGAGTACTTCTACAACAACACTCTCCTCCTTCTGACCTTCGATGAGGACAAGACCTACACCAACGACAACCGTATCTTCAGCGTCCTCGTCGGTGGTGCCGTTCCTGAACACCTCAAGGGCACCAAGGACGACACCTTCTACACTCACTACTCCACCATTGCTAGTGTTTCTGCCAACTGGGGTCTTCCTTCCCTGGGTCGCTGGGATTGCGGTGCCAACCTGTTGCAGATTGTCGCTAACAAGACTGGTTACGTCAACTACGAGGTCGACAAGACCTACCTCACGCTTAACCAGACCTACCCTGGTCCCCTGTCGATTGGTGACCCAACCATTGGCAATACCTCCACCTTCAGTGCTGAGTGGCCGATTCCCATCACCGACAGCAATGAGAAGTGTTCCGCTGGTCACGGTATCCTGGATGCCGTCAAGAAAACCTACGGACACCTGAACACCACATACGACACCAAGCCGTACCCCTGGAGTGCTAAGACTCACTACAACGACAAGGTCACCGCCAAGCGCTCGAACGAGACCACAAGCAGCAAGACCAACTCTACCACATCGAGCTCTACAACGTCGAGCTCTAGCCAAGATAACGCTGGTGTTTCTGCCACGGCCCCTATCACTACTGTCGTGCTCGGAGCCCTGTTGGCCATCGCTGTCTACTCCTTCTGATTAAGCTGCTCTTCGTCCATTCTTACTAGTCGGCCGGGGGTGGCTGTGATCCCATGATACTTGATCATCTGGAAACTTGCGAATGCGGTACCGATTGATTAGGAACGAATGTTTTCTCCAAATTTCGGGGATGTAAAACGCGAAGAGAAATCTCTATCTGGAGGCCAATATCTTAATTTTTAGCTATGAATCAAATGCGTTACCATTCTGATATTCTAGAAGTAATGCTAACGTAGCGTTTGCATCGCTCGATTCATTTGACCTAGGAGCGTATGATAATCTTGAGTATGTCAATACTCTGACACGAAGGCTGAATATGTGAAGTATATCGCAAAAGAAAGGTGGAAGTGAAAAGGGCCCAAGAGCCAGGTACTCCTGTATGATTTTATTGCACTCATTTCATATAGCCCGAGAATCACATATCCTTTACCAGCCATGCCTTCGATTAAACCAGTCGTCTATCATAGACGTGCTGTCTTGATCAAGATACTCTTAGTCTCAAGAAAACCATCAAGACTATATAGAAGCCCCTCCCGGCCGTTCCCACTCATCTTGAACCCACAAAATCCATTTTTCTTAGCATTCGTCAGCCTAGTGCAGTTCACCCCAACAGTGCCCGCATCCAGAGCCTTAGCCAAACGAACGGCACGATCGATATCCTTGGTGAAAACAGCAGCATGCAGGCCAAACTCCCATTAGCCATTAGTCCCAAAGCCAAGGACATTCTGACATAGCTGTCATAGGTTTTATTGCGCAACACCGGTTGTAATCATGTACAAAGCTGACTTGCATGGATCAATTGAAATGGCCTATGTCGGCTGCCCAGATATCTGTGCTCTGATTCCACCTGGTCAGCAAAGTGTCTAGTGATACGAGCATCTCATCGGTCAATTGAGTCAATGATAAGCTTTGAGTCATAGATGCCTCGATCAATTCCGCGACTGGGGTTGATATGCATGAGGGTATCTCCGAGGGCCTTCTGAGTTCACCACAACGCTTTCAAATACAAAGTTGTATCTAGGCAGGTACACATTAGAATCCTGCTTGTATCACTAAGAGTTTATAAACTTCTTTACTACACACAATTTCCAAAAGAGCATTGGAAAAGGTAAAGTCACGTGAGATACCTCGGCTCTTCCGTCTGGGGAACCGAGCGCGGTCAATGAGCAACTCCGGGACCCATTTCCCCGTGTTCTCACGAATCCCCAACTCGTTCCCTCCCATCCTCTACAAACACGTCATGATTTCGCGATGAGTTCAACAAACTTCGCCGCCGCACAAGAACGGGTTCTTGAACGTCGTCGCCAGCGTGAGGCTGAAGCGCGCGCCCGCCATGCAGCACAGCAGCGGGCCTCTCCGATCAGCCCGGCCACCGTCCAGCGTCTACCATATCCATTGAATCGATTGCCCAGCTCGGGGTGGCGGATATGGAATTCCATCAAGGGCCGGGATGGCACACGCCCCGCATTTCGAGTGGGCCAGGTGGATGCTGAATTATTAGATGAGGAGCTGCTTGATCTGATGAAGGGCCAGGTCGGGGATGCCCTCAAATACTTCGGGGTATGTCTGAATGCTTGACGAATGAATATCTGAAGTGTCGTGATACCAAGTAGCTGACAAGGATAATAGCCTCAAATGCGCGAAGATTGGTCACATGAGATTCTATTCGCGTTACGGGCTATACTCTTCAAACTATCAATATGGGATCACAATGCATCATATGGTGCGGCGCTACAAGGCCTCAAATACACCGATAGTCGAAGCAAAGGACCTGTTTACTCTTCGCCAACAAAATGGCAGAAGAGTGTTTATGGCTTATTGACGGTTGGAGGGCGATATGCTTGGGACAAGTGGGAGAGCTGGTTGGTGGGACAAGAAGGTGGCTATGATGAGGTTAGTTGCCAAATTATTACTCTCTGTTGGCGGTTTTTTACTAACAGACACTACAAAGCCATCACAGGACATTCGAATGCTGTCGCGACTCACAGACATGCTGTCGACATCG